GATTTTTTCCGTAGATAATGCTGATTTTTCTTGTAGTGTGTTATCAGTGTTGATGAATTCTGATAGTCATAGAAATTTGTTGATGAAGATCTTAAACGAAGCTCATGTGTCCAATGACATCACACTAGACACATTTCGTGGCATCATTGGTAACATTACAACTAACAATCACCTTACTTTCACAGACGATGAAATCCTAGTTGAGGGAAGAGGGCATAACAAGGCTTTACACATCTCTGTGAAATGCGCAAATCACATTTTGGCTAGGGTGCTTATCGATAATGGGTCCTCATTGAATGTGATGCCCAAGTTAACATTGGATCAATTGCCTTGTGCCAGGACATATATGAAACCAAGTTCCATGATCGTTGATGGATCTCAAAGGGAAGTTATGGGAGAGATTGAGATCCCTATCCAGATTGGCCCATTCACTTTCAACATGACTTTTCAAGTCATGGATATTAAACCTGCATACAGTTGTTTGTTGGGAAGGCCATGGATCCATTCAGCTGGGGTTGTTCCCTCTTCTTTACATCAGAAGTTGAAATTCATTGTGGAGGACAAGCTAGTGATTGTCTCGGGTGAGGAAGACATGTTGATGAGTTGTCCTACTCCCACTCGTTATATTGAAGCAACTGAGGAGGCTTTGGAAACCTCATTTCAGTCATTGGAAATAATTAGTACTGCTTATGTTGAATCTCCAATGGGAAGTCCACAACCATCAAACGCATCCATGATGGTTGCAAAGGTCATGATGAATGAAGGGTACCAGCCAGGACTTGGGTTGGGAAAATGCTTGGAAGGAGTTACGAAATTGATAGAATTGCCAAAAAACAAGAATCGATGGGGGATAGGTACAAACCTACTCAAACCGATAAAAGAAGAATGGTAGAGGAGAATAAAGAGAAAAGGTTGGCTCGTCTAGAGAATCGAGAGCCTAAAGTTCAAAGGATTCTCATTTGTCACCTTTATCAAAGCTTTCAAAGTGGGGGGTGGTGCACGCAAATCAAGTGGCTATGATTAAGGAAGATGATGATGATAATCATGCCAACTTCGTATATCCGTGTGACCCATGTGAAGAGCTCCACAATTGAAAGATCGTTGAATTTCATGTGACTCTTAATTCAATTTCAAAGTAATTGTAACACAAACTCT